CTCTTTTGCAAATAGATCAAGAAAACTGAGTTGCGAATCCAAGTGTGATACTGTTGGTAACCTTGTCTTGTCCGTGAAACAGAATCTCCTTTCTTGTATGCCAAGAACCAAAAGAAAATTGTGGTAAGCAGCTAAATACAATATTCCTATTTTCCCTGCATACTTCTTCCTCCCTTGGTTAGGGTTAGGGTTACAGTTATGGTTATACTTCTTCCTGCAGTGAAACCATGCCGGCCGGGGTAACTATCTTTGGAAGCTGGTAGAGGCATTATATAAATTGGCACAACTTATATAAAAGACACCAAAAACCAGTTGGATCCTATAAATGAAATATGAATGAAAAGTCATGGCACAATACATCAAGCAAGATTCTCCCCTCTTTTTTAAAGATTAAAATGGTATTATGAAAAAGGAACATCAAAAGAGCAAGCCCACGTTGTCATTCGTGTTTTATATGATCCTCATTCACAGCAAGTCATGCTTTGCCTCTTAAAGCAATGGAGAAGGGCGAGGTCTTCTTAACTGTATAATCAGAGACACAGGACTTTAAGCTGGGAAGGACTATCACAATACAGGTAATCCTTGACTTACAACCACAACTGAGCCAAAAACTTCCACTGCTAAGCAAGACAGTTAATTTTGCCCAATTTTACCACCGTTCTTGCCACAGTTGTTAAAGTGAATCACTGCAGTTGGTTAAGTTAATAACACAGTCGTGAAATGAAACGGGCTTCCCCATTGACTTTCTTTGTGAGAAGGTCACAAAAGATGATCACGTGACACCCCCCCCCCCCCGGGACACTGCAACCGTCATAAATACCAGCCAATGGCCAAAGGTCCAAATTTGGATTTTGTGACCATTGGGGATGGCTGCAACAGTCCTAAGTGTGAGAATCAGTCATAAGTTACTTTTTTCAGTGCTGTTGTAAATTCAAACAGTCACTAAACAAATGGTTGTAAGTCAAGGATATCTACCTATACAGGATATCGAGGTGAGAAATAGGAATTTTACAGTAGGCTTAAAATATTTTTTCAATAATTGGGAACCATCTGAAAAACAGTAAACTGTTGCTCCTCAGTAAAAGAGGTTTTATTTTTTTTTAACCCAAAAAAGAAAAATCAACCTTAAGTTTCACTGAATTAGATATTTCACTGTTATGAACAATTGTGGGTATTTTCTGGTTTTTAGATGTTCTGATGCTCAGATGTTTCTGTGGCACTATCACGTAGTTACTATTTTATTTTAAGTTCAAACATGAATTTTTTCTTACTGGAGAAAAAATTACTTAACTTTTGCTTCAGGAAAGGTTGTGAAATCTTATCCAGTATTTCAAAAAACCATCATATTTTTTTCCCTATTTGTGGTTTTTACAGGGAGGAGAAAGTAAATGGTAGGCTTTAAACTGGAATTTAGTGTTTCAGAAACAATACTTAGAAAAACCAAGCCACAGACGAACACTGGAACAATCAATCATTTACCCTGTTTTGAACAGACACATGAAATAAAACATTAAATTTCTTCCAAGAGAAGAAATTTCAACTTATATTATCAAGCTTCACCTCACCATTTAAGAGTGATGTGTCCTGTCATCACCTCTTAAATGAAGACTGACCTCTCCTCACCCCGTTCCTGTAATCTTAAATTCTGTAGAAGAATTTAAGTCTTAAATTAAGTTCTGCAGAAGAAAGACCTGCTATTTTAATTCACAGGATGGAACCATGTGAAAGTAAATCAAAGAGCATTCCAACTCTTTCTAAGTGATTGACAGCAGAGGATTATTTCCAGTGCTGATTTAAAAAGCGTGAGTAAAAACAACTCCTTTTGAATTGTATCTTGCAAGAGAAAGTGCACTGATGCACTTTAATCAAGATGAAAATTGCGATTTTGCAGTCCTTTTCAGAACTTTAAGTTATAGAAAGAAAATTGCTTAACATGATAGTTCCCCCACAGCTTAAACTTAATGCAAAGTATCAAGGGGCAGCTCTAATGGCCTTGGCCTTCATTCTATCCAGATTTCCCTCAAATATGAGGTTAGCACCCTGATCAAAGTAAATTAACATCTGCAGCGTTTTCTAAGGGAACAGTACCACAACCATTACTCTTACAACACTTTTAAAAATACATTTTGGCAACAAATCTATAAAAAAATGCTTTAAATATGGAATAGTCACTAAAAGCAAAGTTACTACAACAAGCTTAAGTGCTTTGCTGGCATTTCAAACTACTGTAAATTTTAAGACATGCCTAAATTGAATCTATTTTCTTTTATTTAAGAATGAATTTTTCTATACACAATGATGTTGGATTGTTATGTGTAAAATTGATCTGGTTGTGCAGTTCCTGTTGCTGATCAGAAATACTTGCTTTAGCGTTCAATTGTTCTTTGTATCCTTGTTCAAATATATTGTGGTACGCGGTACACTGATTAAGGTTGTTTATTAAGGTATTTTCAATCTAAGCCAGTGGTCACCAACTGGTGGGCTACGGCCCACTGGTGGGTCTCAAGAAAATTTTGGTGGGCTGCAGAGAAACGTCACCCCCAGAGCAATTAATCCAGACTCCGCAGGAACACAAGGCTGCACCGCCCACATGACCTGCAGGAACCCTCCCCACCCACTCATTCCTTACCTGGCAAACTTGCCTGCTAAGTTGCTATTTTTCCTTTTTCCGACCATCTGCTGTGCCGGGAGATTTAGATTAGCTAGAAAGCAGAAAATCGTTGGATTTCTTGCTTTCTAGCTAATCTTTAGATCTTCGGCTCTGCTTTTAAGCACAGCCGAACCTCCCTTAGGACTGAAAGTTCTATTATTCAGTGCAGACTCACAGCAAGCAAATTTTATGTGACAGACTGAGCTAGCCGATGGCAGATAAGATAGATCACTGAATGATTCTGTAAGCAACTCAATCTGCCTGCCTGCTTTGCCTGCTTTTGGGTAAAAGTTGCTTTTTTTAATAAAAAATTCAATATTTACATACAAGGTGTGTTGTGAGTTAATTTTGTGAGTTTGCTTGCTAGCAAATTTTATGTGACAGACTTAGCTAGCCCATGGCAGATGGATCTCTGAATGAATCTGTGATTCTATGAGCAACTCAATCTGCCTGCCTGCTTTGCCTGATTTTGGGTAAAAGTTGCTCTTTTGTTATAAAAAATTCAATATTTATATAAATATTTATAATATTTACATACAAGCCATGCCCAGCCAGTCACATTACCACCAAGCCACACCCACAAATTAGGCCATGCCCATAGAACCGGTTAGTGGTCCCTGGGATCTAAAATTATGAGTTTGGTGGTCCCTGAGGTCCAAAAGGTTGGCGACCCCTGATCTAAGCAATCTAAATAGAAAGATCATTGGGCCCTATCCAACAAGATGCAGTTCAATGAGCAACGATGATTAGGGGACTGGATACTAAAACACATGAAGAACAGTTACAGGATCTGGTCATGGCTAGTCTGGTGACGAGAAGGAACAGGGGAGACATGATAGCAGTGTTCCAATATTTGAGGGGCTGCCTCAAAGAAGAGGAGGGGTCAATTTATTTTCCAAAGTACCAGAGGACTGGACAAGAAACAATGGATGGAAACTAATCAAGGAAAGAAGCAACCTGGAATTAAGGAAAAATTTCCTAACAGTGAGGACAATTAACCAGTGGAACAGCTTGCCACCAGAAATTGTAGGTACTTCATCACTGGAGGTTTTTAAGAAGAGACTGGACAGTCACTTGTCTGAAATGGTATAGGATCTCCTGCTTGAGCAGGGGGCTGGACTAGAAGACCTCAAAGGTCCCTTCGAGCTCTATTCGGATCCTAAATGATTCTAAAGTTTCCTTTTCCCATTCCCTTAAGCAGCTGCACACAAAAAAAGGCACAAACAGCTTTGGATGGGCTAAGGTGACCCAGGTAAATGCAGTTTATTTTTTATAAATGGGGGGAAAAATGAGCACTTGCTTGAAACACATGGAAATAGAACCAGGAGGAACCATGAAAGTATTTGATTCAGTGATATTTTTGTGCATTATCTGAATCGCAAAGGTAGGGGAACTCACTTTCATGGCTAAAATCCGTTTTATGTGTTGCCTTCAGAGACATCTGCAGGAGGGGGTAAAAAAAGGTCAAGATAGCAACCATGACCACAGAAGTTCCATCTTGACATATTTTTTTAATAGCCTCCTTTGAATACCTCTGATGCTCTTTTATGTGATCTGGCTATTTTTCAAGTATGAAAATGCAGCCGCAATGGATACAGGAGTTCATTTTTCCTTCAAACTTAGCTCAATACCGAATGATTTTACTAAAAACGTGCAGCCTGCAGCAATTTGGGAAAGAAGACTTTCCTGTTACAGAGACAAGACAATGATTTACTGCTCTCTGAAGAATCTTGGATTAAGCTGTGAAGCCTCATAACTAAATCGACTCATGTGAAGCAAGAGGCCCTTTTCAATGATCTAGCACAACAGCTCCTTCTGCTTAGAAATACTGAATTTAACAACGAATGAATATCAATGTACCTGAAGTTATTAATCATCTCTCTTTAGTGAACTGTAACTCTTAGGAAAGATTAAGAGAGCTAAAAACTCTTAGTGGAGGCCACTAAAAAAAAATAAACAAAGCCTGAAATGGAAAAAGAGAGAAGCTTGTTGTATAGGTTGTATATATGAGCCGTTGGTGGAGTAGTGGTTAGAATGCATGATTGCAGGCTAACTCTGCCCATTGTCAGAAGTTCGATCCTGACTGGCTCAGCCTTCCATCCTACCGAGATCAGTAAAACAGGACCCAGATTGTTGAGGGCAATACGCTGACTCTGTAAACCCCTTGAGAGGGCTGTTAAGCACTATGGAGTGTATATAAGTGCTACTGCTACATGTAAGTTTTTCAGAATTATTTGTACTTAGTATTTCAGACACCTTCCTGTACGAACAGAGGCTTCATTTAAAGGTTTCTATTGGAGACAACGCACACCTGAGGCTCACAACATAAATCATTCTCCACACCATCAAGAACTTTCAAAAAGATTTTGTATTATAAATATATTGTCTTTTTTCAGAAAGCCCCTCCATTGGAACGTAAGATTTGGTATTGTTGGTAAGGGAAGTAGGCATTTTCTTATACATATGGTTTCATACAAATTCAGACTTGGTAGATAAGGCACAGTGCTCTATGTTTAAGTTAGAACTGATCTTGTCTCCATGCCTTCATGGGGTAAAATTGTTCTTCCTTACAGAATAAAAGCAGCAGTACATTTAAAATTACAATCTTGAGTCACAGTGAAATTTAAAAAGACGAGCCGTACTTAGACACACACAAAAAAGTCATTTTCTGCAACCTGCCTTCACACAGTGTCCTCCGACATATGTAGACAAAGCACAGCTGCAGTCTTTTAGATGTGGACAGTTACTGGCTCATTTCTTGGAATTAGCTCAATGAGCTTGTGAGGGATAAGGGGGAAAATCGATACTGGGCAGGATAATTTGTTTCTGAAGTTTTTTGGCACTTGGTAAAACCAGACAATTTGGAGTGAAGGCCTAGAAGCACAAACGGCTAGGTGTAGAAATTTTGAAGTCAATCAAATCTGGTTTACGAGCCCTTAACCCAGTTCTGCAGAAAAGTTCAGGCATTCAAAACCAAAGAAACAAGCAGAAGTGATATATAATATCTTACCATCCAAGCAAAGCACTTGTCAGATGATGAGAAGTTGATATATCCATTCTGCTTCCTTCACAAACTTGGTGTCTCTACAGAACTGTTTTAGCCATGGCATTATACAGTTGTTAGAAATGAAATATATCACTCAATAAAAATGTTTAAATGGGTATATCTGCAAAATATATATGTGTATATATTTTGTCCATAGATAAAATATTTGTCCATAGATGATTGGCACTGGAGACAAAAGTTGGAGTGGGATATTAGTGTAAACTATCACTGTTAATCAAGGCAATGAGAAAGGGAAAATAATTTGGACTAAAACAATAAAAAGGGGAATGGTATCATTCAAACTCTGATAAGGCACACCGTCTTCGAAACTCTTGCCCACGTTCGTGGATCCATTTATTGGAGACTATAAAAGAAGAAGAAAAGGAAGTATCTGTTAGCTCATAAAATGTCCATCCGATTTTCCCTTCAAAAGCTCAAGACAGTGTACACAGCATTTGTTCCAGCAACCATCAAAAGGGTAGGTTGGGCTGAAAGACAATGACAGAAGCTAGTGAGATTTCTTGGACGAGGGTGAAGATGAACCTATTTCTCCCCCAGTTCTCAACCAACACCATAACCATCTCACCACACCGGTAATTCAACCTGGTTATATTTAATGATTAATCTACCTATAGAAGTGTCATATAAATTGCATCATATAGGTCAGTGGTGGCTAACCTTTTTGGGCTCCTGTGCCAAAAATTGTGTGCACAATCCCCTCACACCGCCCCTCCACTTACCTGCACTGTGCCTCACAGCTGATTTTCGAATAGGCCCGTTTCTTCACTTTCTGTAATACTGGAAGTAACAAAGCAGGCCTATTATTTGGGCCTGCAGAGGCTTTTTACAAAGGCTGAAAATCAGCTGTGAGGCATGTGCATGCACAGTGAGGTAAGTTTGCCTGCGGCTCACATGCCGGTACAAATGGTTCTGCATGCCACCTGTGGCACGCGTGCCATGGGTTTGCTATCACAGATATAGGTAGTCCTCGACTTATGACCACAACTGAGCCCAAAATTTCCATTGTTAAGCAAGACAGATGTTGTGAGTTTTGCCTCATTTTATGACCTGTCTTGCCACAGTTGTTAAGTGAATCAGTGCAGTTGTAAATTTAGTAATACGGTTTAAAGTGAATCTGGCTTCCATCATTGCTTTGCTTGTCAGAAGGTGGCAAAAGCTGGTGCACGTGACCCTGGGACACCACAACCGTCATAAATATGAATCAGCTGCCATATATGACCATAGGGATGCTGCAACACTCATAAATGTAGAAAATGTTCATGTCATGAGTCGCTTTTCTTCCAGTGCCACTGTAACTTGTAGATTGAAGACTACCTGTACTTATTATTGGGATGAGGAGAATTAGAGTGCTGTGCTTTTTTTAAAAAAAGTTTGTTTTATAGCAAAAAGACAAACAAATAAAACCATCTTTCTGTTCAACGGTGTGTCGGTTGGGTACATATATCTTGTGCACATAATAATATTATCATACATTCTTACTTGTTTATATTTATAACCATTCTAATCAATATTTTATATCACATTTATCAGTTGTTGTATTATCATTAACATTATACCCTGTTTCTCCAACAATACGGCCTCCCCCAATAGGAAGTCCCAGCATGTTTTATAGGCATGAAATGAAATTAAGCCCCTCCCCCCAAATTAAGGCCTATATTAAAACATGCGAAATGGGGGGAATGGTGGGGGGGCTTGCCGTTAGGAAGTACTTTTGTTGCACACCCGGATATGGTGCTGCCTGCGTTGACCTCGATACGAAGTGCTCCACCAACGCTGAGGTCAACATCCAAGCTGTCACCGCCCGCCCGAAGATGCAAGGGGGGGCGGGGAATTAAGTCACCCCCAAAAAGACGACCTAGCCATTTTTTCAGGGCTCAAAAAAAAATAAGACCCGGCCTTATTATATGAGAAACACGGTAGCTATTGTCTTTCAAAAATATATTTCATTTTTACTTAAATTATATTCATTTTCTTACTCAGTCTAAATTCAATCAATTATGATATATTACACTATTATTACATATTTCAATTTCTTACTCTTCTGTCTAGCCATTCATAGAATAAATTCCAAATTTTATAATAATCTTTTTAAAAAATAAGAGTGCTGTGCTTGAACCATGTCTGTCAGGCCTGAGCCCAAAGACAACACGATCCAATCAAGTTCAATCCTTTATTTGCTTACAACTACCCTGTTTCCCCCAAAATACGACCTACTATCTTAGCTTGATTTTTACACGTGCACCCAATATAAGCCCTACCCCTAAAATAAGCCTTAATTAAGATTCCACCCACTCCAGAGTGCACTGGTAAAAATCAAGCTAGGGTGGGGATTGGGGGTGGTGGAGCTGCTCTGCTACTTACCTTTGGACAGCTGTAGCCAGGTCTCACACACCCTGATACCTGCCTCGCTGGCCCATTTCTTCTGCAGCCGGCAAGGCTTTCCTGAAGGCCTCTGTAACTGGTAACAGAGCTCCAGATCGATCCGGAGCTCTGTTATCGGCTGCAGAGGCTTTCAGGAAAGCTTTGCTAGCTGCAGAAGAAGAAATTCCTGAAGGCCTCTGACAGCGAAAAGGAGGATGGTGGCGACAAGTGAGGTTAGTCGGTGGTTGACACCCCCCCAAAATAAGACCTGGTGCCTTTTTTGGGTGGCAAAAAAAAAAAAAGACAGGGTCTTATTTTCGGGGAAACAGCGTAATAGACAGAATCTTGTGAAGCAAAAGTGCTATCCTTTTACTATCTAAGAGATTCCAGGATATGGCTATCCTGAACCTTTTCCTTCCTTCTCCCACCAGCTCAGGTCTGCACTGTCTCTTAATCCAGGCCTTTCTGTGGGAATTCTCCTCACTGCTGTTTTAGATGCACATTCCATCAAAATACCTAAGTGTCAAACCATTTTTCAAGTTAGAAACAGGTTCTGGTTTTGGACCCGAACTTCACATAGATCACTGCTGGGACTAAGAGGTACTTAGCATCAGAGGGATCATTAAGTCATTTTCCACCCCCAACCCGTTTCTAAATAGCCCGTGTCGTACGTTGTAGATTAAACAACTTCTCTTCGCTGTTTGCAATGGGAGAAAGTAAAAATATATACAAAAAACATTCAAGTTTGTTTCCAATTCTGATTCCACACTCTTCCTAAAAAAGTTTAATAATTCCTTCTACATGAGACATTTCAAGTATGTTCCACACATGATTTAAAAGGAGACTATTAAAATCTTATCTTTCAAATTTCATACATACCCCATTTGTTACCGACTAATACTGGGCATGCGGCGTGCCGGGTGCTGTAGTCTCCTTCACCGCTTGGGAAAAGATTGTACCAAAATACCGCTGTCCCCTGGTAAAACACAAAGTAACAGCGACTTATTTGGGAGCTAACTTTTGAAAAATGCCATACTAAAGAGGGAATACAGAATGTAAATATTCACCAAGTGCCTGACAGGATGTGGCAAAGCACTCCCCATCACCCCTGCTTTGGTTTCTAATATTTCTCAAATGCTACCATTTCAGAGGGTGGGCAAGATATAGATAGTCCTCAGTTAACAACAATAATTGGAAGTGGAATTTCCATCGCTAAGTGATGAGATGCAACATCATGTTAAAGAATTTCTTAGCAATAGCAAAACTGACACTTCCTATTGCCATTGTTAACCGAAACCCCGCCCCCCCGACCCGACATTAGTTGAAGATGCACCAAGACCACTTCCACCCATCATGCCAGGACAAGCTACCAGAGTATAAAATGGGAGCAAATCCCATTTCCAACCAGCACTGGTGGAAGTTACCTAGTTTGGTAATGAAATGTCTCCTAGAAAGCAACCAAGCTCAAAGGACCAAGGACCTCTCATTTCAACCCCGAGCTACAAATATTCTCCTCTATGAAGATCAACCCCAATACAAGCTATTCCTGGCTTGGTTCCCTCCCAGCTGTGAGCCTCAATAAGGTAAGAGTCTGCCGCCATTTTAACTCCTCTGACCCACTTTATCTTTCCCCCTCCATCTCTGCCCTTTGGGCCACCATGAACTCCACTGCTTCTGACACCACCACCACTCCAGGTGATCTACACTGTCTTCTTCCTCCCTGTTCTGACCCAGCTTCCCAAACACAACAAACCCTCTGAAGTGAACTCCACAAAGATTCCTTTACTAGGAATGCCAGCAGCCCCAGCAAAAATTCATCTCGCAGGCTAACAAGTCTGGCCGGAAGATGAATAGTTGTCTGCCACACCTATTCATGTCCACCTCCTGCCTTTTGTCCCGAGCTAGGGAGGGGCCTCATTAGCAGCAGTGGTTCTTCCCTCCCCAGGATTGGCTCACGGCTTTCCATCGCTCTCCTCTTCTCTGCCTATTGCGCATCCACACATCAGGCACTGGACCCAGCTGTTCCTCTTCTTCTTCTTCAACCACCTCCAAACCTAGAAGCTGTTGATTCTCAATCTGAGGGCTAATGGATGGCCCAGGCTCCGCCTCTGTCTCTCTCTCTCTCTGCCAGCTCAATTTCCTCTCCCCCCTTGGGGCTCCCAGGTTGCCCTGATGCTGATCCTAACTCCCACGCTGCCTCCTCCTCTGATTCTGCTGTTGGAGGGGCCGGCGGCTGACAGGCCACAACACTCCCGCTGAAGAGGCACACCTGGGCTGGCCCTGTACAAGGCACTTGCTGGCTGTGCCAGGTCTTCTTCCCAAGAACGTTTGCAACCTTGTCCAAATAGTGTGTAGCTTACTCTTGAGGCTTTGGAAGTGGAGCATAGGGTGTAGGGCCAGGAGAGGCAGCGGAGTGGAGGGCAGTCAAGGGGGTAGAGATAAGGGGGAGACAAGCAGGTGGGAAGAATTGAAGCATCTCTGCAGTTATGAATGTGGATGGACTGCCAAGCCATCTGAATTTTGATTATATGATTGCGAGGGTATTCTTTCAGTAACCATACGTAACTACTATTCCTTCAGCAGTGCCCTAGCTTTAAATGGTCACTGAACAAATGGCCACCAGGAGAGGACTACCTGTATTCCATTTCAAAAGATTTTAAGGGTGAATTTTCACAAAATTATCCATCTCAAGCACAAAATGCTGAAAACAACTCAAAAGTAAAAGGTCGATGGAATTTCACCTGGGAAATGGTTGAAAACAGAACGTTTTGCACATCCTATCTACATTCTTCTCATCCAAGTTTAAACAGCTGTGCGTTATTTCAGTTTCATTACAAATGAGGACAGCCCCAAATCTTTTAATAAAAACATTCTTAAGACTATTTATTTCTTATAATTTATTGTAAAACCTAACAGGAATGGGCAAAAAAATTAGGATTGCAAACTGATGTTTGCTTCTGATGTGGAAGCTAAGCTTGTTGCCAGTGTTCAAATTGCTGTGTCTAAACTTAGATATAATAACAAAGAATTATTTTGTAAGTCCAGAGCTATTGCTTCAAGGCCTATGAGAGAAGAAAGAAAAAAAGACGTGTGGCACAACGATTCCTATGTACAGGTAGTACTTGACTTACAGCTGGTCTCTCAGTGACCATACAACTGACACCCCCCACCAAAAGCACCAGACTAAGAGAAAGCAAATTGACAGGTCATGACTGGTCCTATAGACTGACAACTTCCAAGGTGAAATCAGAAGCTGTTACAACTGCTTCCTATTCTGGCAACCCAAACTATTGATATAGCCTAAGATGGAATCAAAAGACATAAAGAATTCTTTGAATCAGTGTATGGTAAGAGAACAAAATGGCAAGCAGTGTGATGACCCGTAGTCTCTCAAAATAACACAAAACCCAAAACATACATTAAAGTCTGATAAGGCCTTCAACTTAACTTCACTGTTTTATTAGGCACAGTTTAAAGTCACAAAAGTAAATAATGAGGCAAAAAGAAAACCAAAACAAACCGCATTGACGAGAGTTCTCAAGCAAGCCAAGATAACTAATCATAAACTCCAGGAAAATAACCGAGGAAACCTCTTTCAAAGTAAACACTTAACTCTGATTCCAGCAATTCTAACTGTGTCAGTTACAGACGTATATACATAGCTCCCAGCTGCAAGCCACGAGGAGGATCATGGTAATCTCCTCTTGAGTAGACCTCGCTTTTCCCTGATCCTCTCCTCCCTGCGTGACTTAGGATGGATAGGGGATGGGCCTGGATCCTCCTCTGACTGCTCAGCCGGCCTCTGCCCTTCCCCAGCCTCCTCCACCACCTCTGGAGCCACACTCCCACTCCCTGTTGGCTGTTCCTCCCTCCTCTTCCTCAGAGTCAGTCTCCAACAGAGGCATGACAGGCAGGCAGGCAGGGAGGGAGGGAGGGAGGAAGAGACGGCCTGGACTTGTCCTATCTTTCCTTTAAAAGTGTTACTTCCAAAACCCAACTCTTACCTTTCTGCCAGCAAAAATGAAAAGATACTAATACTTTTATGAGGTACATGGAGAGAATGGTCAGAGATGGTCACTTTACATGTACACCTTCTGCTTACCTTCTTTGGCCAAACGCTGGCTCCGACTTCAGGGAATACCGTTGCTCCTCCTGCTGCCACATCACTCATCTGAAAAGGAGAAAAAGTGGCTATCTATTCACAACTCTCTTTGAACCGTAACTGAAAAGGAATCCCACAGATTCCATCAATGAACTGATAAAACAAGGTAAAATTTTGACGGCACCAAAAAATATTTATGCTAATTGAAAGAAAGCAATAATCAAAGATGGTAAAAGGCTGCAAGAATTCTTTATTTGGCAAAATAGTACATATAGCTCAGTAATACAGAGGTACATATATGCTGATCATACGAATGCTGATGAAACTATATTGTTAGGTTACGGACAAGGGAAAAGCTTTTGGGATTGTGGTGGAAAACTGAGAGAGAAAAAATTGCCCTGTGGATATTTGCTGTGAAAAAAGACAAATTCCATGTTGGGAAAATCAGGAGGAAAAGAATGAGAAAATAAAGCTACCAACATCATCATGTTTTCTTAAAGCTTAACCTGATTTGGTATGTTTTGTGCTTTTTGTGCTTGCCATAAAAATATTGTAGCCCTTAAAAAAGGGGCAGAAAATAATAAAATAATTAATCATCTGAAGCCAACATCATAACAAGGAAAAACTCCGTCCAGAGTACACTGGGGTAAGACAGGTGGCCAATAAATTTAATAAATAATTTTAAAAAGTGAACACAGATGAACATAAGGGGGATGACAGTGGTAAAGAAAGCCAATCGAGAGAGATATTCCCCCATTTTCTCACATCTAGAACTGAGATCTCCCAGTGAAGGCGAACAATGCGAAATTTAGGACAGGATAAAAGAAATGTGTATGACCCCTTCTTATGAATGCCTCCAATAACAGTACCTGCCCTTTGGAACACCTTGCCACCCCAAGGCAAGATCTGCTCCCATGCTTCTGACCTTCCCTAAGGACCTGAAGACCTGCCTCTGCCAATTGGTTTGGGGGCCCAATGGGAGTGCTGGAAGTGGTTGATGGATTAAGAGAAGACCCCCCTACCTCCCCCCTCCCATGCATCTTGCTCCCTTCCTTCCCATCTTTTTAATGTAATCTTTACTGTTATGAAAGATATTTATTCTCCTTGGTTTCATTGACTTTTACTGTTGTAAGTCGGCTCAAAGTGAGATGGACAGCAAACAAATCTTATGATTTTTCAATATTTACTTAAAGGGGAAAAAAAATACAGGAGGACGAGGAAATCTTTTGCTCGTGGCTCCTTGATGGGTTTCCCAGAAGCATTTGGCTGGGCACCATGGTAACAGAATAATGGCTTAACTGGCAGCACAATAGTGAAGTAAAAACTTTCCATGTTGAAAGTTCTAAATCTTCAATTAAAAGCCACAACTAAAGTACTGTACTATGGGAAGCTGGTTGGTCTGTTTGACAGACTTTAGAGAAGTGCTATCATTTATAGGTGACAATCTTCAATTGAATGTGCCAATTCCCTGACTTAGGATATGTCCATCGGCATAGTCTGGTACACACAGCACTGGATGGGCCAATCTTTGATTTGATCAAGCACACCTATTACGTTCTTACTGGATATTTATGATAAGGGATATCTAGCTATGGATACCAATGAAAAATTGGTTCACTCCATTAACCTATAAAAACATAACTCATGAGGTACAATACGGAATATTTCTCCCAAACTGCTGTGTGTAATACAAAACACTTGACCTTCTATGGTGCCATAACATAAATCAGAACAATACAACACTCCCCACCAAACTCTGTATTCTTCAGCAACTGATATTTTCTCTCCCACTGAGACAAATTCCTTCACTGCATTATAAGTGCGGACATCTTGTCTTACTTACGTAGAATAGCCACGTAGCAATTCTATTGCCTGTACCCAGTTCTTTAAAGGCATCTGGTTCATCTTTCTGTGTTCAAAGACATAGATGGTATTAGGAGTAAAAAAAACAATAGCACACAGAGGAAACATTTTTAAATATAATTCTTCTTGGAATGTCTGAAAAGAAAGGAAGGGTTTTCTCCTTGAAGTTAAAATTGTTTTATTCAGGTAATAACTCTTTTGAATACCTGGGTTACAAAGTTAGCTCACAACATTCTTAAGACACAAAGCATGGTTTTGTTATTCCATCACTTTATATACAAGGGGAAATCTGCAACACGTACTTGTTGAAAATTCTCTTCTTTTTGGAATAGATAAGAGAGCCTATGTTCATGAAATTGATCAGGAGCTTTTTTGGAAACCCACCCAAACAATGCCAAGATACGTAATAATATCCTATGCATTTATGTTGTCTTTGTAACAGGTCACTGCAATGCAATGGTTCACTTTTTGGCAATTAAAATTCCAGCCATTTTGAGCCAACGCTTTATGAATGCCTGGAACACATCATGGATGATCTTCCACCAGATGTTATATGCAGGGGTGGGATATGACCGGTGTAACTACCGGTTCGGTGATTTTACATTTTGCGCAAACGTTTTGCATGTGCGTGTATATCATCGTCAGCTAGCTGCCTGGACAGCTGAGCAGCGCTGCACGCAGGTGCACAGCGGTTGAAAAAGCACTTTTCCTTGCTTTGTCAACCGCAGCTGTGTTGCGCAAAGCAGCTGTGGTTGAAAAACAGGAAATAAAGGTCAGGTAAGAGCCGGGCGGGCCAAAACAGCAGTAGACATAGAACCGGTTCTATGTATGCTCTTTGTCTGCTGCTCTTCAGAACTACTGGTTCTACAGAGGTAGACAGAACCGGTAGAATCCCACCCCTGGTTATATCCTATTTTTCCTATTTTACAAGATCCAATGTGTTTTGGAGAATCCATTATGCAATTGCCTTTAATCTTCTGTTTTGTGCGATTTGCCAAATTTGACTGGATGTACAGTCGCACTTGAAAGATTACTGGTGATATAAAGTCTACTTAAGGTACTACGATTCCAATACCACAGCCATTACTAAACAGTCTTCTTTAAAGCACACGGGTTTTCCAAATAGCCCACAAAGAAACGATCATCAGTTAAACAGAGTAGACATATGCAAATCTCTTTATACCCAGCTTCCAGTGTGCTACAGTACCTACAAAACAAACTCTCCTACATCTAAAAATAATTTTAAAAAGTCCAGACAAGAAGGGATTGTATGCTGTCCACTAGCTGCAATTCATGTCAGCCAAACAGCTAAATTATACTTGACAGCTTAACCATGTTCTGCCAATGCAAACAGAATGTCTTTCATCCTAGAATTACAAGATAAACCTTTTCGTGCTGGTAAACTTAATTACTTTCATATGCAGATGTTTAAAATAGTTTTAAAAATTGCGGTGCTTCTTCCCTACTATTAAGTACTGCAATAGTTTCTTCCCTATGCTCAATTTAAATGGGAGATTTTTTTTTTTTTTTTAATAAAAAAGTTTTATTGATTTTAACAACAAATAAAAACACATAAAACATAAAACATAACATAAGAACATCATCATTCTTCATAAATTTACAGACAGTGTATCGGTTGGTTTATCACTTCTTTTTGTGCATCTATTTCATAGTCATCATAATAATTATATTACATAATAACTCATATTATCAATCAACAATTATATATCCTAATATCCTTATTAAACAATCATTTGACTATAATTTAACTAATTCATGCTTAAGCGAGATAACTATAATTTAGTTAATTTATAACAAATCGTAAAATCATACCAAATCTATCTTAATATAATATTCTAAAAATATTATCAAAACCAAAATATATATATATTCTATTATTATATTGTTTTATCTAACCATTGATAAAAAAGATCCCAAACTTCATAGAATTGTTTATCTTCTTGTTCTCTAATTTCAAATGTCAATCTACTCATTTCAGCACATTCCAATATTTTCTTAATAATTTCTTCCCCTAATGGTATTTTCTCACTCTTCCAATTTCTAGCAAATACAATCCTAGCCGCTGTTAACACATTTAGGGAGATTTTATTTTTAAATGGCTAGGAACAAACTATAATCATAAATCAAGGACTCCAGTCATCCCACGGAAGTTTGTTTGACACCTGTGCTCTGATATTTTTTAAACCATGTATGTACACTATAATTAGCTATTTTTTAAAAAATCTTAATTGTCTCAGAAGTTGTAGAAACTGGGATATCATTGGATACATGATGTTTCTGCTGCTACTGTATTGCATTTATCTTCTAATTATTTAGCACTGATTTTACACTTCATGGTTTTCTTTCTTATAAATCACTATTTTATTGTAAGTAGCCCTGACAAGACCCATCAGTGGCTGGAATAAAAACATCATTAAATAAATAAAATATTAAACTGAAATACGTTGGCCATTATGTAGCATAGTAGAATTTATAACACAACACTATAGAAGTTCACAGGTACACTGCAAAAATATTAGGACAGAAATTAAAGTTATGCATGATTACAAGTTAATACATTGTTGATTTTGAGAAACACACCAGAGGATTTTAAGCAATAGGGTGAATCACAGTTTGATCTTGTGTTAAGGCAAGAATTTTTTAATTACTGTCGGACAGGAGAAAAAATGTTAATTGAAAATGTTACTTTACACCAATGCTCTGTACATCACCATTTGAATTTATCCATATCTTTGATTAAAATAGTTCATTAAGAAAAAAATAAATAAACAGGCATTAAAATGCAGATATACTCAATTTCAAAATCATTTTATTACTATTTTTTTGATCAGCACAACACTTAAACCAGGGATACAAACTGTCATTATTTTAATGAGCTAAATTTGAGAAATGAATATAGTTAAAAGCAAAAGCTATTGCATTGTCTATGTGCCGCTGATATAATATAAAGTTGCTTTATTCCCTATGAGTCAGCAACCTTTCTCTGTAAAGCAATTCTATGAAGTGACACTTTTAAGGCTTTCCTTAAGAGTTCACTGCAACTATCTTTTTATCGTTCAAATGGTGATTTAAGAAGCTTTATCCATTCAGACGGATTAGACCACTCAAAAGCCCAAATTTAATACAGATATAAGGCACTTTGGACAGGGTCCCCAAAGCCTAAAATCCGCAAACTTTTCCTTCACCCATCATTTTACTTGCCCGAGCAAAGTCATAGTGAGGCTCATATTGTCCTCCCACTCCATAATTTGCTACCTGGAAAAAAAAAGAAACACAGGACATATGAAGAATCCCAAAGGCAAAGAAAGACTTACCCTTCCGAAATCAAAATGAGGCTCGTACTGGCCTCCTACTCCGTAATTGGCTACCTACAGTAGAAGAAGCACAAACACCCAGTGAAAGATCTAGGATGGGATCTTATACATTTGCTTCATTTCTAACGTGAAATCCGGCTGAAAGACAGTAAAACAACTTGACTTCAGAGTCAACCAGTCTCCTTAAAGCAGGGGTGTCAAACTCAAGGCCCACAGGCCGCATCCGGGCTGCAATGTGGTCGGATCTGGCCCGCGGGGGCTGTCGTGGAAAATGTATCTGGCCCGCATGGCTTCGGCCTGGTCTATCCAATTCGAAGAGGAAACAGGGCAGCAGTTTGGGGAGTGGCATCAAGCTGGCTCCACTAACCCAGTTGGCAACATCCACCCAATCGGCCACGACTGCCCGGCGCCCCGAGGTCAACCACAGCCCTGATGCGGCCCTCAATGAAATTAAATTTGACACCCCTGTCCTAAAGGAATATACAAGTAGTCCTCAACTTACGACCACAATTGAGCCCCAAATTTCCATTGATAAGCCATACAGCTATTAAGTGAGTTTTGCCTCATTTTGCAACCTTTCTTGGCTTAGTTGTTAAATGAATCACTGCACTTAAGTTAGTAACATGATTGTTCAATGACTCTGACTTCCCCATTGACTTTGCTTGTCAAAAGGTCGCAAAAGGGGATCAATGACTCTGGGACACTGCAACAGTCATAAGTACAGGCCAGTTGCCAAGCATATGTGACCATGAGGATGGTGCAATGGTTGTAAGTGTGACAAAGGGACATAGGTCACTTTTTTCAGTGCTGTTGCAACTTTGAATGATCACTAAACAAATGTAAGTCAAGGACTACCTGTGTAAGCAATTGCAAAAACTAAAGCAGGAACTATTGCAGACTTGCAAATTACACTTAATGCATGAAGTGTTATTGAACATATCTGAACATATTATTTCAGTGGCCCTCCCAAATGTATTGGAATGCGTAATATGGAAGATTTTGTTTTTATGCTTTCAATTTCATTCAACATAAAGTGAAAGTTTATCTACTTTGTTCATTTTATATCCGATAATTTTAATGTTTTCAAAGTTTTATGCCGCAACCTAAGAGATAGATAGATTCTGAACTGGGTTTGATTATATATTTAAGAGTTGGGCATCAACTACATTCTCTATTTTTTAAAAATGAAAAAAAAAATCAGAAGGAAAGTTTGGGAACTGAATTAACTTGGGTTACTTGGCTTTCTTTTTCCTTTAAGAAAAAACTAAACTAAACAAATTGACGAATAACCATAGGTTCTAGCAGTTTAACTGTGATGAATATCATATAGACAACGCCAATAAAATACAAGACTAGAGCTGCATCACAATGAAGACAAGATCCTCAACTTACAAAAATGCGGAGATTTGGCATATACCTCTTTGTTTTTCAATCCTTCTTGGGTCCATGCTAACCTGGTCAGTCACATACTTTTTTTTTTTTTTTACAAACTCACCTGGAGCTCCTCAGCCGTGGAAACATCCAACCCTGTTAGATCCTGTATCCTTTTATTTATACGTGCCACTACAGGGTTTTCATATCCAGATAGCCAGGCACTAAAAATGGAATTATAGTGTTATTCATGAACAATAAGATTTGAGTATTAATTTTCATGACCAATCACAAACTAATTTTAATTGTGCAAAGTAGGCTATAAAACTTAACCTAAAAGTAATTTACAAGGAATATTTTTAAGTCCACACATTATTTCCACATGGAATTCAGACTTGTTTAGCTAGAGCACCATCCATGATTAATTAAAAAAAAAAATCTGCTGAGTCAAACTTCAGATAGTATGTCTACGACATTGCAACAGGATTTTATAGTCCTTTAGGGACAGTATATTCTGTGAGGAATGTATTATTTTCTGCATAGGATTTTGGGGGTAATATAAGTGAAATAAATAAGTGAACACAGGATCTCTTATGTTGTGTGTGTCAGAAAAAATACTGGATCACTGCTTTAGACCCACGTAATTTTTTCATCATTAACTATAATTGAAAGCGGGGGGAATATTATTCAAATATTCATTTATCCAATTCTTGCAATTGTCAGAATGCTATGAAGCAAACTTTAATACAAGTATTAATTTAAATGGAAAAAAATGACATCTATATAGACTTCAAACTGGAAAAATCAGTGAAAATTCTGCTTTTCTTCCTGATGAACTGTTAACTTTTCTGATGAAAGTGGGTTTTTTCCCCTCCAAAGGAAGTGTTTTAGTCTGAAATGTTTGGTTTGTGGCCACTTTTTTCCATGCTAGATTGTAGTTCTTTCAGATTATGTTTTTTATTTATTATTCCACTGATAGCACTGCTCCAGCAACTAGGAACTGACCCCCCCAAAAATTCTTTCAAGATGTGAATCATCCTGGCTAGATGTGTGCTTGCCCATCGCTATTAAAAGCAGTAAATGTGATGGCGATGCTTGTGATCTTATATCTGGTAATTTAATACCACCAATGATCAGTGTACAGGAACTCCTCAATTTACGACCACAATTGAGCCCAAAACTTATGTTGCTAAGTGAGAAATTTGTTAAGTGATTTTTGTCCCATTCTATGGCTTTTCTTGCCGCATTTCTTTAAGTGAATCACTGCAATTGTTAAATTAGTCACACACTTGTTAAGTGAATCTGACTTCCCCATTGACTTTGGTTGTCAGAATATCGTAAAAAGGGGATCACAGGAGTCCAGGACATTGCAAGCATCATAAATGCAAGTCAGTTGTCAAGAATCAGAATGCTAGTCACATGACTATGAAGATGTTGCAACGGTCATAAGTATAAGTCACATTTTTTGGTGCCGTTGTAACTTCAAACTGTCATTAAATGTTGTAAGTCGGTGACTACCTGTATTCTGGGGTGCACATTTCAAAAGAGACTGAATGAGCCAAAGCTGCAAGAGAACCCAGGATTACTTTTAAAAATCATCAATGACCACTGAAGGATTCGAGAAATCCTACACATTCTGCTGGATTGGAAGGATGAAGTTATGCATTTACTCCAGCAGATTTGCTACCTTCCTTTCTACAGGAACACAACAAATCCCTAACCAAGAGCAGCAGATCGTGAACCAACAGAGATTACAGAATCTTCAAGAGTGTGGAGGAAATACAGTTGAACATTTGCCAGATATAGAATGATTTTTTTAAAAAAAAAAAATACTCGGTTAATGCACTTGTTAGTATATTGCTGGCATACTGTTAGTGTTGCGTATCGTTAGTATATGAATCAAAGCAGACCAGAAAAAAAAAAAAAAAAGAATTTCCTGCCTCAAAACAAGATGAAATTAGATCAAGCGTTATCAGGAAGAGTTATCTCCTAAAGAGGGAAATTAAGTTTACAGCAACGAAGGTTTTAAAAGTAATGAATATGTAGTACATTCCATATTTAACTAATGAACAACTACAAGTAGCTGGGACTCCTGGTTGACATTTCATGCTGGCAGCTCAATACCTCCTAGCAACCAAACTAAAATAATAATGTTTTCTCACACTTCTTCTTACAGAGAACAAAATAAAGGTAGTTCCATTGAAAGAGTAATTCTATACTGTTGGGCTTTAGCAACCTACAATTTGTCTATCTGCAATGTATCCTCAGAAGTGACTCTGATTGATTTAGATAGGATTTGCTCTCAGTACATTTGTACAAGAGTGTAATTTCAATGTGTGGCCCTGAACAACGGAATGCAGCAATAAGTCAAGCAGAGTCAAATAAGTCAAAGCTTTCTAAATCCCTCTGGGATTGCTTTGTCTACTAACTAGCTTTTAGACCTATATTCCTCATTCTTGACAGTTTTAAGATGGGTGGACTTCAATTCTCAGAATTCCTCAGTGAGCCTTAGCGGCTGGAGAATTCTAGGAGTTGCAGTCCACCCATCTTAAAGCTGCCAAGATTGATACATTTCATTTAAAGACTCACTTTAAAGTGCTGGTTATTATATTCAGAAACTGCTAAATAACTGGATCATTTCTTAAAGCAGGGATGTCAAACTCGCGGCCTGAGGGCTGGATGCCTCACATGCTGGCCATGCTCATCCCTGGTTTAGCGAAGAGGGAAAAAGTCATATATGTCATGTGACATGGTGACGCCGCAAGTTTGACATCCTTGTCTTAAAGTGTTTTTTTGTTTGTTTATTTATTTTGTTTGTTTGCCACCCAACTCACCAAGAGATGATTTATCCCATATAAACCTTTACATGCTTCCTATATGCATTTGAAAGCAGTTCTGATTTCAATCCTGTTTTCATCAGTTATCTGGATGTGCTTTCAACACATTCTTGATTAAGTTTGTTAAAAAGGAAGCCTGCCTCTTACTAGATTGTTACTCAATACTGCTTTGACCTACATTATCCCAGAAATTATGAGGTTCTCTTGCAGGCCAACTTAAATATCATTTTGGCTAAAAAGAAAGCAAAGGATTAGTTAATACTTAAATTTATTGCATTGCTTCTCTGTAGTAGTATACGTCACCTTCCTTCCCATCTTACTGTTATTGTAACATGTACTCTTCATTTTACAGTACTGAACCTTACAGTTTAGTCTTCAATGGCTCTCTTATTTTGACTTTAATTCATCAATTTTATATCCATTTCTTTTTCAGGGAACTTGAAATCTCAACACATTTCATTTTTGTTCAAAGTATTCCAAGGTAAAATTATTTGTATTGTCTGTACAATACAATTTACTCTTCAAAAAGTAAAGCTAGCTAAATACTGTTGTGGAGTTACAAATATGAATATTACATCTGAATTTTTTTTAATTCAAAGGCCAATCTAAATAGTTACCACAGTGGGGGGGTGGTTGACTGAGTAACAACAGATCCCACCTTACCCCAATCTGCCCCCCCCCATGTAATTAGATTTTAAATTTTCATGATTTATTTATGTTTTAATGTAGATAGATGATAGATAGACAACATACAGACTTTTATGACTGTAAGATCCCCAGAATTACCCTGTGGTATGATGGGTGGCCAATAATTTTATAAATAAACAAACAAATGTGTTTCTGAAGTTATTACTATTTCAAATAAACAAGCATTCATCAGATATGTACACCTTTCTCTGTCACTGCAATAATAAATGTTGATTTTTTTTACTTTTTTCAAGATTCCACAATTCTACTGACAATCAACTAAATCTCCTGTTGTAAGAAAGGATCTTATAAAATACTTCAGTCATATTATTTTAAAGTATTCTCTCCTGTGATGAAAAAAAAATGTTTTTACTTAAAGTAGGAATTTCGACAGAGAAGAAAGTGGGTTTCTTAGAAGTATACACCCTTAACTGCATTTCACAGAGGGTTGGGCTAAATCAAATTATTTTAGTACAGCACTTGGCTTGACTCAAAATCCTGGGCCAGTTTATACTATCTGCCTGCCACATACTTCAGAATGAACAGGAGTCCTGTCATTAAAAAGAGTATACTGTAATATGAAAAGTATTAAGTAGGAAAAAGTTACTGGAATGCCTGGACAGAGAAAACGGTCTTCTCTTTAAAATACAAGGAGGAGTTATTTTGGTTCCTAGTACCAGGCCATGGCCTGTTTGAAACCAGGCCACGGGAGAGATAGGCAAGTGGGTGTGCATGAAGTTCCATTGGCGCGATCAGAGGGCGCTTGAGCTCACAGGTCCATTTACGTGAATGGAGCTTCGTGTTCGAGTACCCTCTGCTGGCACATGAAGGTCCATTACCACTCACACACCCCACTGCCACTCACACGCCCTTCCCCTGCCCCCCCAAGCTGGAAAGGTTGGGTACCACTGTCCTAGTGGATGCTTTTTAAAAAAATCAAGGAACTGTTCTGACATCCTTGTTAGTTTTGCCAATGCTGCTTGTGCTTTGGAAAATTTTAGCTTTCAACATATAGAATAGAAAAACAGAGTTGGAAGGGACCTTGAAGGTTTTCTAGTTCAACCCCCTGCTTAGACAGGAAATCCTATATAGCATTTCAGACAAATGGTTATCCAATCTCAACTTAAAAACTTCCAGTGTTGGAGCATTCACAACTTCTGGAGGCAAGTAGTTCCACTGATTGTTTTCACTGTCAGGAAATTTTTCCTTAGTTCTAGGTTGCTTTTGTCCTTGATTGATTTCTACTCATTGCTTCTTGTCCTGCTCCCAGGTGCTTTGGAGAATAGCTTGACTCCCTCTTCTTTGTGGCAGCCCCTGAGATATTGGAAGACTGCTATCATGTCACCTTCTAGTCCTTCTTTTCATCAGACTAGACATACCCAATTCCAGCAACCGTTCTTTATATGTGTTAGCCTCCAGTCCCCTAATCATCTTTGTTGCTCTTCTCTGCACTCTTTCTAGAGTCTCAACATCTTTTTTACATCATGGCGATATAGGTATAAGTTTCCTTAATCTAGGTAGTATTTCACAAAATGACATCAAAAATATCCCCCGTGAAGCTTAAAAATAAAAACAACCATGAAGCAATATAAAACATCACACTCCACATTCAGCAGCTTATTAAAATACTTTTTTGTAAATATTCTGCGATTGTATTTTTTTTAAAGGCAGCTGAAGAGCATGTACGGTATATTTTGTGTGTTCTCTATTTAAAAATAGGTGCTGAACTAGGAATTTCAAACTATCATTACCACTTGCGGCCTCCTGCTTGTTAAGAAGTCTTAAAATTAAGATAGATATTGAGACTCCATGGGAAAAAGCAAACAGATGGTAGGAAGTACTGTAGTCTCTCTAGTACAGGCACCAAGTTAGGAAATTCACACAGATTGTGTTTAAGATGAAATAATTCAATGTGCTAGTTTTTATTAGGATCATGCAGAGAAATAGTACACAGAATGCACCAACTGCTTTAAAAAGCACTAAACCACACTGAGTTCAATGAGTGAAGGACATGCTTTAACAACTTAATTTGGGTTAGCACATGCATCTCAAGGTGTCCTTTTTTAAAAAAACATTCCAAACTTTCAATGCCATAAGTGTTAGCAATCTGTTTTAAGGCTGTGTCTACTGATCAGGAAAAAACCCGTCCCAACCTTTGACGCCAACCCCCGATTGAAAAATCCCGTAGCAGTTCAGACGTAGCCGTCTCCTCTTACCTCTTAGAGACTCTGTAATGTGCTGTAGTCAGTTTCCCAGTCTGAGGGTCATGCACAGTAGCTCGGCTCAGCTACAAAAAAATAAAAAAAGAGAAAGGACAAGGGCTTACTCTAGAAGCAAGCGTCTGGGCAAGCCACAGGCAATTGGGAGGGTTCCGATTGGTCAAGTTAGAATGTAATGCTCAGATCAGCAGGAACGCTTAAAGGATTGCAGTATCTGCTGTATTACTCTGCCCCAATTTAATTCAATTGGTTTAATCAAATTTTGTTAGGTTGTCCTTTCACTTTTTCTTCCCCAAATGGAAAGCTTATGCAAGCCACTTGTATCTGCCAAGTTTCACAGAGAACTTCTCCAGAACCCAGAAGTTAAAGGCTCTTCATCCTTTCTACTGCTTCCAGTTATTCTTTCTTTGAAAAAAATATGTATTAATAGGTTACAAGCTTAAACCGTATCAAAGTTAGGGTGTTCCAACAACTAACAGACTGCTGCATTTATAGGACACACTATAAATATTCGGAAATGTTCTATCATCACAAAGAAAAAAAGTGGGATTAAAAAAAAGCGGGGTATGCCTTAAAGTGAAATAAATAAATGGAATAAATTAACAAAATTAAAAAAGTTTCTGAACGAAACACAATACTTCGCCTCTACAATAACATCGGGTAGGAACCACTTTTAAGAGCTGGATTTTAGCCAGAGAAATTGGAAATTCCCAGTATAAGAGACATGTTGGAATTCCACACAGGAGTGAGATCCAATTATTTTAAAATTTTAAAATTATTCTAATTGTGTATAAACAAGTGGGAATTCCCCATTTTCAGCAGTCATATATGGAACAATGAATAAATAACAATGATTTAAGAGGAATTCGTGAAAGCAAGTAGGGTATTTTGAGACTCAAACATACCTAAAACTATTCTAAACTCCACTTAACAGCATATGTGGCTTCAATAAAGCCAAGCGGAAATTAATCATAGGGCATATTAGTGTTACAATAGACACATATGGAAACAGTGCATATTTCAATATAAAGAATCAATTTGTAGCCTTGTCAAGACAAGCTTGATTTTTGTATATAGGAAGCAAAAAACTATGCATATTACTAAATAAATAATTGTGCATGCCCACACTATCATGAAAAACATAATTCCAAAAAAAAAAGAAGCTAGACTTTTTGGAGGAAACTTTCAAACCGCAAGGCAGAAAGCAACATGAAATCTCTTTGTCAGTTACACCAAGCATCAAATATTCAAAATATACTTTAAATAAGCAAATAAGGACAAAACTTCTGGCTACAAGAAGCATCTGAGAAACTTAGCAGTAACGAAGTGTTAAAAGTCTCTGTGAATAGCACAAATGACCAGAAAAGTTATAAACCAACTTTTTTCTTCTTCTTCTGGTCACTCTTCTACACAAATGAGTACTACAGAAGGTCTCGTCACAAGGACCGAAGGTATGGCAAGTAAAGTCTTACCTTTTGCTAATTCTGTAATGTGCAGTCTCCAAGACTCCCGTTACGGGGTTTGAAATGGTGGCCCGCCTCAGCTGTGAAGCGAACCAATCAGAACAGTCGCATTACAAGGTACATATTTGCATCACATTTATGTGACCATTCAGAATCCGGGGGCGGAACCCCAATTTCAGTAGGGTTCTTTTCCATTAAGGAACAAAAACCACCACCACCACCGAACAAGAAACATGGAACACGAAACAAGTTAAGAATGTCAAAAATAATAATATTAAGTGCAATACTGAATTTTTTTGCCATACCAATGCAGGGGTGGGATTCTACCGGTTCGGCCTGGTTCAAGCAAACCGGTAGCTCTGAGGATCAGCTGGGAGTAAAGAGTTTGGTTTGCTCTGACGATCAGCTGTTGGGCCCATCTGCCCACCTGGGCTCTAGGCTGTGCTTTATATCCTATTTTTCAAGTTCAACTGATTCGCGCGGCACAGCGGATTGCAGTGTGTTAGCTGTTTAACACACAGGGATTGCTGGAGAAGGTCAGTAGCAAATGCTTTTGCATGTGCGCAAAGCATGTGCTCACCGAACCGGTTGTTACACCGGTTGAATCGCACCCCTGTACCACTGCTATATTTTTGTAGCGTACTAGGAGAAAACAATCTAGGCTTCTTTTGAAGCCACAAGCGTTATAATTATCATTCTAAACTGGGAAAGTGTTAAGAGTGCATGTGAGCATCCTACGCGTTACTTACCTTCCTGGTGCTCCTAAAATAAAAGGAAGGATTATTGGGAAAAGTTAACTAGATTAAAACACTTTGAACCCTCAGAGTGGCATTGCCCAAGCCAGCACAGGCACAAAACTATTTACAGGTAGTCCTTGACTTACAACCACAATTGAGCCAAAAATTTCTGTTGCTTAGTAAGGTATTTGTTAAGTGAATTTTGTCCCGTGTTATAACCTTTCTTGCCACAGTTGTTAAGTAATAGGGTTGTTAATGTGAATCTGGCTTCCCAATTGACTTTGCTTGTCAGAAGGTCACAAAAAGTGATCACATGACCTCAGGACACTGCAATTGTCATAAATATGAGCCAGTTGCCAATTGTCCAAATTTTGATTGTGCAACCATGGGATGCTGCAACAGTCTTAAGTGTGAAAAACAACCTTAACTTTGAACAATCACTAAACAAATGGCTGTAAGTTGAGGACTACCTGTAGTAGCATGAACAAAAAAAAAAAAAAGAAACATCAGAAGCTGATTGCTGAAGAAAGGCAATCTTTGGATTTAGTTATAAAAGAATTCCTATTTAATAAAGGTGATAAGCAGAAAAACTTTAATCTCAACTTTTCAATTAAGAACAATAAATCCAAGCTTCCTTAAACTTTTACTGAATTGGAATCTCTTTTTTAAAAAATTGCCTTGATACAGAATGGATCAATCAGACATAACATTCTAGTAACTTGCTGCATGATGATTTAATCCTACAGAAATAAGACTATACACCACTGTACTGTACAGAAAAAATCAAGCACATAATTATCCGTCGTTAGAATTATAGCTTAATCTACTATTAGAATTTGTCTTGACAAAGTGTAACAATGGTACTAAAATTTGTCAGTTCACCTGCAGTAAAGAATTGTTAAGCTTTTCATTACTGTTTTTCACAACAAGCTCCCAAAACAGGGCATGCCTACATTTTATTCGACATAATTGTTGGATAAGCAACAATGGTTCAAATATTGGAGCTATCTGTCAATCTATTCTGCTTGGGCCCAACCTGATAAGCAAAAGCTAGTTTGCTACTTCAGTAATAAAATGAAGATGCTATTAAGCTAAAGGACTGCAAGAGGATATTTAGCAAGGCTCAAGCAAGCTGTAATCAGGAAGCAAGCATTAGGGTGAGGAAGTCATTCCTTGGTGGTCTTGTTCAAAGAGTGTGGACAATTTAGATTCTTTACCCTTGGTTTTGCAAGCTCTTTGACTTTTTCTATTTCTTCGTCAGAGATAATGTTAACAAAGCGAACAATCCGAGGGCGATCCCACTCATCTTCTTGTTTGACAGGTCCCAGGATGTAATACGGGTTCCTGTTCCCATCGAAATAACGGCAAAACAGCTCCTTTTCCTTTCTAGGAGTCTAAAAGTTTGAAATAAAGGGCAAGCATTAGTAACTCAATGCATTATTTTTCATCATCCACAAATATTCTGTTATGTTGGTATTGCACACAAGGGAGGACCCAAAGGTGCTTTTTCAAAAGGCGACTGGACTTTCTTTGCTTTATCCTTAAAGACGTTTGGCTTCTCATCCCAGAAGCTTCTTCAGTTTTGACTGAATGGTAGGGAATGGAAGGGTTTATATTCCTTGCAGTCCTCTGGCCATTAGCACTCTTTCTTATCTCTGCTCTTAGGGTCACCCAAATAGTGCAAATGGATGTGGAACCTTCTTGGAACTGCTGAAAGATCCTTCTGAAAAAGCACCTTTGGGAAAACCATGACTTGTATGATTGTGAACTTCCATAGACATCCCCATGTTTCCCTGAAAATAAGACCCAGTCTTATTTGTCCCCCCCCCAAAAAAAATAAGCATTAGGGCTTATTTTGGGGGGGAAACACAAAACCAGGGTGGTCAACTTGGAAGATGGTGGGATGGAGTGAGCGGGCAGCCATGGGAGGCTCATCTGTGTGTCTCTTGGCTTACTTGCAGCCTGTGCAACACGCGCCCGGATCACGTGTCTTCTCCCTGCCTCTGCCTACTGCTTGGACAGATAATAAACTCACTTGCGCTATGCAGGCTATGGCTGCTGCCAGACACCATCGGCCCCCCATACCTTCGCTGCCTCCGGTGCTGGCCATACCACCCCCCACCTATGACGATCTTAACTAGGGCTTATTTGGGGGGATGAGCTTATATTAGAAGCACAATAAAAATCAGGGTAGGTCTTATTTGGGGGGAAACACAGTACAAGGGAGAACATACCATTTTAAGACCTTCACCACGGCATAGTTTTTCATACTTCTGTCTCTCGGGCAGATAATCTTTGGAAGGTCCTCTTTTCTGAGTCTTCACTTTTTTTCCAGTCTGCTCATCTGTGCTGGCCACAGACGCATTGGCTTCTTTTTCTTTTTCTTTAATCATGATGTATTCAAAGTATTTCAAATTTCCGTTTGCTCTCTGATGCTCGGGATCTGTTGGAAAAGCAGATAGAGGACTGGTTAACTCCATGGAAGAAAGCTAATTTTTAAGTGATTTTGTCCTTTAGTTGGAGTTCAGTTGTCGTGAAGTTTTGATGAAATCTGTATATGTCAGCATCTAACCCACTTATGTCAGCTGGAATGTATCTCTATCTTCATATATAAATACCCAAGTCACAGGAGCAAATGGCACGTAAAGCAATGGGGGGAAAATTAATGCTTCCTAAACACATTTGTAGTTACAGGGATTCCCAGCAACATTTTGTCCTTCACTCCACTGCATTAATTAGTTTGAAAAGCTTGTACATCCAAGTGGAAAATGTCTGAGGGGGGGAAAAAAAGTTAAAGCAGTGCAAACATGCTGAATGCAAGAAATATTAACCTACCCAATTCAAGTAACCGTTTGGTGAGCATCATTGCTTTGTCCAAGTCCCCCTGCTGGTATATAGCATAACTTAAGTAATCTAGAACAGAAACTTTGTTGATCGAAGAAGAAACTTCTCCCGCATCCAACTGTTTCAGAGCTTGCTCCATCCACAATTCAGTATGGTAGTAGTCTGCTTCAGTATAGGCAATCTTTCCTAATTCAAAGCAATCTTCGGCAGTTAGAAATACCTTATGTTTCACTCCTATGGGAATAAGAACCAGCAACAGCTGTTAAAAACCCTTTGAAATCATGTGGTTTTGCATTTATGTTTTTTTTTCCTGCAGCCACACTGTTTAATTCTTATGCCCTCATTGATAAAACTAGATAGACTACTAGTTATTAAACTGTGTTCTCAAATGAAACAAACAAAAAGTAAAAAAGTGTGATATTTACAATATATAATTACTTATGAAGCACATTGAAATTATATTAAAGTAACCGAAATATGTTTACAATCCCCAAGGCATGTCACAATTTTTGAGCACCCCTAATGTTTGGAAATTGAAAGTTGTAAAAATTGACACACCATTTCTCGATTTATTTTTTTCTCGTTTTGAAGTGATTGCACTAAACTGGATATCAGATAACAGATAATCAGAGTTGGAAGGGACTTTACAGGTCATCTAGTCCAACCCCCTGCCCAAGTGGGAGACCCTACTCCATTTCTAACAAATGGCAGTCCAATCTCTTCTTGAAGGTCTCAAGTGATGGCGCTCCCACAACTTCCAAGGGCAAGCTGTTCCATTGTTTGATTGTTCTCACAGTCAGAAGTTTCTCCTTATTTCCAGATTAAATCTTTCCTTGTTCAGTTTCCATCCATTATTCCTTGTCTGGCCTTCAGGTGCCTTGGAGAATAGCTTGACCCCCTTCCTCTCTGTGGCAGCCCCTCAAATATTGGAAGACTGCTATTATGTCTCCCCCTGATCCTTCTCTTCACTTCATCATATAGCAGGGGTCTCATCACTTCATCATATAGCAGAGGTCTCCAACCGTGGCAACTTTAAGCCTGGCAGACTTCAACTCCCAGAATTCCCCAGCCAGCTTTGCTAGCTGGGGAATTCTGGGAGTTGAAGTCT